TTTTTTTTTATTTTTATTTTTATTTTTATTTTTATTTTTATTATTATTATTATTATTATATTATTATTGTATAAACGCGTACAAGACGTTGTATGTGTATTTTCCAACACAGATAGTTGGTATTTTGTGTACAAAAGTGAAACTGAAAATAACTGCGTTGAACATTCAACAGTTGTCAAGAAAGCTCGTATTGAGCATTCGTTAAAAAGTTTGTATAGGAAAAATAATAAATGTCGGAAAGAAAGAGAGAAACAGTGTGACGGAGGTGTTTTAAATAGTAGAACAGTCGAAATAAGAACGGAAAAACTAATTAAACTTTTCTTGATTTTGATGTGCGACGAACAGTTATGATGAACTCGTTCAAAACATTCGATCTATGTAAAACAGATCGATAGTGATATTAATTCAAGGGACATAATCGATATTAATTTTATATCTAAACAAACAAATAAGACCCGAACGTTCAGCTCTGATAATCAGCATTATCCTTTTTTTTTCTTTTTCTTTTTTAGTTTCAATCAACGTAAATACATAATAAATAAAAATAATACGTAACGTAATAATACATAATACATCGATAAAAAAAACGTTCTCGTGCTCTCATCGCTTCTCTTTCTTCGTATTTCATGCCGCGCAACAAAAAAAAAAACGCTAAAATATCCCTTCTTCTTCTTCGTCTCCTGCAACTTGATATTGCAATTCGATGAACGTGATGCACTTTTATTTACCATTTCTGTCAAACTGTTCTCGTAATAATACAAATTATATCTATCACTTTTGTCAGACATGTACTGAACTTTATTTTAAAAGTGGAATCAAATTTCATAGCAGGGACTTTCATCATGCTTCAATAATCTTTCGCTTATTGTTAGTAGTAGTTACACTATCGATTTGGCTTTCGAATATGCTTTCGAATAATCGCTAAGAAAAAGAAGCTTTTAATGAAGAAAAATATAAGAATTTCGCTAATTTGTCTATTAAAATCATTTCATTATCGTTTGCAGAATAAATAAGATGTATGCTCGTTATTTAATAACGAATATCGATTTGCGGACTATTAAAAAAAGGGGAGATGATAAAACT